GAACCTCTTGCTTTCATTAACCGCGTGTTTACAATTATAGAGCAGCCTTGTCAATTTAATAAACTTCCAGAAAAATATATAACTCGCAAGTAATTCGAAAAAACTTCTTCTTCAACTTCCATAAATCTTCCCCGAACGTTGGGAAAAGTTGGGAGACGAACGAGAGTAAAAAAGTGGAGGAGAAGAAGAAGAAGAAGAAGAAGAAGCAAATTGATCCAGAGAGAAATATTAAACGATACTCGGAGAAGATTATTATATACAAGCATACACAACCGTGTGAAACGAGGAGATTCCACGCTCACTAATCGTATACCCGTTCGTACACACCTTCTCTCCCGTGATGGAACATAGGGATGATGGAAAATAGGGAAGGGGATAGAAATCATTTTCTAGCAGAGATACGATCGTGCGTGCATAACATTTCACGGTGCACGGCCACTGTTCGTAATTTCGACGGTAATAACGGTTGATAGTAAATGCCCGTTTCCATGTAAACGATATTCGACCAGTGGAATAATTATTAACAGAGAGTAATCGGGGGAGGAGGGAGTGGGAGGGAGCATGGTTCGCAGTTTAAATTGTTACGCGATACGCGAGGGGGAAATGGAATTCCTTTGGGCGGAGGTTGGATGGAAATAATCGTGTTTCTTTTATTCAAATATTTCTTTTCTTTTTTTTTTTTTTTTGTTTTTGTGAAAGAGAGATTTCTTAGAAAACTATGAAAAAATTGTAAGTGAAGAAATTTCGAATAAGTAAAGTAAGTTGTACGTGAATAAAATTATTGAAATGTATATCTTTTTTAACCCTTTGATAATTTTCACAAAACATTTGAATAATCGTTTATAATCGTAATAATAACATAATCGAATATTTAAAATTATCTTGACAAAATAAAACATATTAAACGTTTCACGCTTTCATCCAGAGTTAATTTCAATTTCCCCGTTTTTTGTTCTTTCTTTTTTTTTCTTCTTCTTCCAGGATTAGCGTTAAATTCCCAGAAATTGATTCTGATGTACAAAAGGCGATCTTGGCACGGAACCACGTTCGTTGCCGGACCGTTTTTAAGTCGCAGTTTGTCTCGCGAAGATTTCGCCTACCGAAAAAGGGGTTGGTCGGGGCGGGGGAGGGGGAGAGAAGAGGAGAATCGCATTAGGGGCGACGCGGTCGCGGCGATTAAATTTTCAAGGAATAAGAAGAAACGTAACACAGATCCACGACGAGATAGGGGAGCGAGCCAGCTCGTGGAAAAAGCAAATTACCTGGCCTCCCGTGTCGGATAGAACGTAAGACGATCTTGAATAATGGCCGATAAATAATGCAATTTATCGAACGAAAACCGTGAATTATTTCTCACGACAAGAAATTTCTCGCGTATTTTGTACATTGGTCTAGATATTCTGGAGTCGATGGAGTTTGAGAAAATTTTTATCGATTATTTTGTAATTGTGGATTTCTATATATCGTATTTTACGAAATCGTTGTAAACGATTCGCTTGGAGAAATAAACCTGTTATATTTAACAGGTTAAAAACTCGATCGAAATTAGGCAAAATTTGAACCAGTGTAACTTCGAAGATGGAACCTTACGGTTAAAATGTTTTCTCGTTTATTTCCCGAGATATCGTTGCACAAGAGAAAGGTAATTTTTAATCATTTATTTTCGAGTAATAACTTTGTTAAAACCATTGTAATTTCGAAGATAGTGGTTTCGAATCAACGAGTGAAAGATCGTTGAAAGTGTGTAATCTTGCTGTTTAAAACGCATTTTTTATTTATCTCGATACGAGTTTCGGTTCTCGAAATATGTTCGTGTAAAGAGAAGAATAATTTTGAATAATTTCGAATCGTTTATTAGCTCCTCGTTCTTCCTTGTTTACTCGAATCTCTTTTAATTTATTCACACTTTGCTTCGTTTTATTTGCCCATCCTCATTAATAATTTGTGTGTTCTCATTATATTATAACGATCCAAACAGAATAATTTCTGATATTTTCTTATTATTGATACACAAATGTACGATATCACACAAATTGTTTTCCATCGTGTTTTGTTCCGAGGAAATTAGAAATGTGGAATGTTATGCCATCGTTCTCATTAATAAAATTGCGCGCTTTATACTTGCTGATTTATTCCTTTGTTATTTTCCTTCTCCCCGATGATCATTTTTCTTAATTTTTTCAACATTCTAGACAAACAAATTCTTTCTCTTCCATACTTGTCACACATTGAATCAAAACGGTCGAAGATATGTGTAATTTATCGAGAAACGATCTATATTAATCATTCATAAATTTTACATTTGTACTTTCATTTATTCTAATCTCTGGCATCAAAGAAATTTTGTATCGACAATATTAAAGCATTCCCCTTTCTCCAAACCACCTAGAAAGATTCCTAGTTAATTGAAAGAAATAACCAAAAGAAAAATCCCTTTCCACAATTTAACCTTTAATCTAACCGTATAATTCGTATTCTTAAAACTTTTCCAAAGTGAAGGGGCTAGTAGCTGAGGCGAGAGGGTAGATAGACGAAGTGGCGTTTAAAAAATTACACTATTCGTCCGACGAAAGATTAAATCCATAACGGGGGATACAAAAAATATCTTCACTTGCAAGAAATGTCTCTCGGTTATTGGCCGACCACTTTAACCGGGAAAATTCGAACGTTTTCTTTTTTTCTTCTTCTTTAACAAGCTCGACAGAAAAGCCTTTCCAATTGACCCCGTAACCCCTAATTGGTCCTCTTTCGGGTAGAAGAGCTCGACCTGTTCGAAGGAACTGTTCAATTCATCGCGAAAGGAAAAAAAGGAAGAAAAAGAGAAGAACAAAAGGGAAGGGGAGGGGGAGCGATTCTTCCTTGGAACGGAAGTGGATACGCCCTTTGGCAAATAATTTAGGATTAAGGGTTAAAAGTGGAGGCACCAAGTTTACGGAAACAGGGTCCAGGGGTGACTTGGCAACGGAACCACGCCGGAAGCGTCAGACTCTACATTTTTCGCCCCGGAAATAACGAGCTGGACTATCTACGCGCCTCGTAGTTACTTACACTCCTTTGTCTTTCTCCCTTTTTTCCCCCCCTCCTTCCACTTGTTTCTTTCCTTTTGGATTCTTTTTATTCGGTTGTAATTAAGAAAGGCGACAGGCTCCCTGTGTGTGCGTGCGCGCGTGGGTGTTCAGCCTTCTAATTGGAGTGGAGAGGACTCCGGATCAGGGTCACAGGGTAACATGTCGGGTTGGCGATGGAGCGGTGGTTTGATTAATACCGCGCACGGTCCCGCAAGTTGCGGCCAATGGATTTTCGATATTAGGGGTTAGGTGACGTCTCCAGGTGTCTTGGAATTAATATCTCTTTCGATATTTAAATATATATATATATATATTGATATTGAAAATATTTTAAAATTCTTAAAGGGTTATCCGAGTTAATTTATTTGATAATAAAATTAGAATTAGTTTGAACATTTGCGTTCGATGTGAAATGGTATTTTTACATTTCAATTTCTTTTTTTGCTTTACGCGAAAGTAAAGTCGAATAATATATATTTCTTGGGAAGGGAAATATTATGAGATGGTGATTTTAAAATATTCTTCTTCTTTTTTATATATATATATATAATTATAAAACCGATAATACTCGAGGCTGAATATTCAACGCGCGAAAGTGAGAGAAAAATTCTTGTGAATTCTTCATCGACGAGCCGCTGTCCATCAAACGACCTTTATACCCGCAATTTCAACAATTTCCATTCAATGAAACCCGATCGAACAATACCGTTTGCTTCTTCAAGCCTCGCCTCTTTAACTCGTTCCGATAATCGAATATCGTGAATTCGACATTTCTGGGAGAGGGAGGGGGGGGGGGGAATAGAAAGGCGGAAGAAATTCCATCCATCGCTGATGAAACTTCAATCGCCCGACTCGATCGCTCGTGCCGAGAACAAGTTTACCGGATGGAAGAAAATAAATGTATCTCTGAAATGGCATCTTAAATTTTGCATTCACTCTCTCGGTACAAATCTGACGATCCAAGAAGAGGGTAGTATTAAACAGCCGAGACATTTCAGACATCCTTACCCCTCCCGGGAAATCTAGACTTGCAATCTTGCGCTCCGACTGTATCCAGATTATCGGAAATCTCGATCGGAGGGGAAGGCGAGTTTACGATGTGTCAATCGTGGAAACTGTTTCAAGTGTGCTTAAGCATATAATACAAATTGAAAACTGTAAAGTACCGTGATAATTATCGAGCGAAATGTTATGGATGAATGTTATTACTGAAAGTTTCTTCGTTCGTGGGATCATTTTGAAATTACGATATTCGAATGGAATAGAATTTTATAGGAATTATTTGGTGGGAAACTTTTTTTTTTTCTTCGTTGGACGAATGTTTAGAGAGAGGTGCTTTTCACATTTTCTAATTGTCACAAAATTGGATCGAGAGAAGGGAAATATGTTGCACGGTTTTTCTAAAAAATTACTAATTTTGATTATTTCCACTTTTTTATGATTAAATTCTGTTCGAATAAGAAACTGGCGGAATAAGATTTAAAGCAAGTTACTCTATTAAATAGAAAATGAAAGGAAAAGAAAGAGCGGGGAAAATTACTTTTTTACTTTTACAACTACATCGTTGTATCGATGCTAGGATAAAATCTAAATAAATAAAAAGTAACGTTAAAAAGTAGAAGAAGAAAGTTAGGGGAGAGAAATTTCTATCTCTTTCTTTTTACATTGAATCCAATCCTCGGCTAAAATGAAACGAATTTAAACACTAATTTAACAATAAATGATAAATTTCTTCTTTTCCATTCATTTCCTCTTTCGCATCCACGGTCGCATTTCTAAAAAAAAAATAAATAAATAAAAATAAAACATTGGAAACAACAGTAAAAGATGGAAAAATTACCAATTTGCATTACATACTTAAAATTCTCAAATAAAACAAAACTTTTTAAAATCCAAATATTAATCCAATATCATTTTCTTCTTCGTTCGCAGATAGCGACGGTTCCCCAAGCCCGTGCTGCTTAACCTGGACTACTATGGCGATGAGCTTCACTTTAATTGCCATCTCGTTTCTTCTTTACCCTTCAATGACAATAACCGTGACGAAGACAGCCACGTACAAAACTACACCTGCCAACAGGTAGCTCGTACGCCAATACGCCACTACATTCACTGCCTAACTCAATTAAAACAAGAAAGAAAGAAGAAAAGGAAGAAAGAAGCAAAACAGGAAGAAGAAGAAGAAGAAGAAGAAGAGGAAGAGGAAGAAGAGGAAGAAAATGGAGAAAATAAAAAAAAAAACATCGTCCATGTAAAACCTAGTAGTCTAGGGCTTCCAGTTATGTATGTTACTATGTATGGAGTAGATAGCTCGAATAACAATTGATTTTTATTCACGAGTGGGCCTGTGTGTTAAGCGGGAGGTCGAGAAGAATATCGAGTAAGGAATATCGATTTCGTTTCTCTTTTTCGCGAGTGATCACGTACATTAAACTCGAGCAACACGATGTCCTTGTGATTCTGCAGCCAACTCGACATTTTTTTGTATTTTTAATAAATGGCGAGATCGGGTGAATCGCGTGGTTAGGAAGCATAGATAGAATGTCGACCGCAGCGACATCTCTGCAAGATTGCAACGATGCTGTGTTGCTTGACTTATACGAGACATTAAGCTGTGTTCTCACCGATGAACAACGTTTTGTTTCACGTTGTTCTCTTGGTTCCTTTTCTTTTTTATTTTTTTTTTCTTCGAGATAATTTATATAATTTATATTCGATGTTTAAATAAGATTTGTATAGAAATAATTATTCTAGGTTTTAGGAATCAAAAGATACGAGAACACTTCGACTTTTATGTATTTTCCGCACTTGTACATACTTCAGCCTTTTCGAGAGGAAGTGGAGGGAATTCAGTGAGAATACAGCTTTAGGCACATTATCTGTGAGAATCGCACCAGAGACGTGTACGCGACAGAGCATCGCTAGTATGCTTTTAAAGTAAAGTAATGGACACCTTATACGCTACGCGTACGTAACTCGGACGCGACATCTCGTGGAGAGACAGAGAGTCTTAGTTCTATTTCCCAAAGGAGATCGTCGTGACGTATAAAGTCACTCACGAAAGTTTTCGTAGAACCTATAAAAAGGCTATTTTTATTAAAAAAAAAATTGTATAATAATACTATTATTTATCGATGCAATAAAACGAAAATGTAAGAAAAGACGAGCTCCTTAAAGAAATTATCCAATTATTCGAAATGGATAATTGGATAAAAACGAATAATGGTAAATGTGTAAATTAACATTTCGTCAAACCTACTTGGCAATAATTAATTTCCATAACTTTAAGGTATAAATTTCATATTGATAAAATTAAGTGTCTTTATAAGTTATATGAAGACATTCATGAGTGATAACAGAGACGAAGTGAAACGAGTTGTGGCTGAAATTTTCTCGAAATACCTGACGCTAAGAAAAAACAAAAAGAAAAGAAAAAAAATGATGGATGAAGGATAAGAACACGCGGCGGTTAAATTCGAGGGGTGAATCCTCTTAGGAGACGAAAATGTTATCGTAACCTCCAAATGCACGCCCCTGCGTAAAAAAAAAAAAAAAAAGAAAAGAAAAGAAGAGAAAAAAAACAATTACGCTCATCGATCGTTATTGCTCTAGCTTCTGGTTAATTTTTTTTTTACCAGATGATTGTTGGTGGTCTCTTGTTCAAATTTTATTATTTATTTATTACTTTTTTTTTTCGATGGTTTTTTTTTTCGATTCGATTTCACACGAATTCGTTTAGCAAACCCCAGTGTTCATTCAGAGAGCGAGTCGAGGATATATAGATATACATACAGGGGTAAATTAAATATTAACTGAGTACGTTAGCGCAGCGACGAACGGCGTTTCTGCTCAATATCCGCTCCTTTTAAGATGTCTAACAAGGAACGCGACACCATAGGTACCGATTTGTAATCTGTACAAATTGTAATAAATTACCATACAAAATACGATTCGATCACTAGTGTGATTATTTCTATTCACACCCTTTACTGTAGAATAAAAGTGGAAGATCTTGAGGAATAATGGTCGAGGTAAGTGACCTCTTAATTTATCAATTATTTTATTATCAACTGACCGCCAGTTTTCCATTCGTAATTTCTTTTTTTTTTCTTCTTCTTTTCTGATCACTGTGAATTTACACGATGAATTAATTTGTTCAAGAATCAATGCTTTCTCTTTTTCATTATTCAATCTCAATCCAATTCATTACTTAATCCTTAATTCCTCTTCATTAACCACTGTTTATCATTAACTTATTATCTCGCCAAGACCCAAACTTCCCGTACAACCGATCGCTTAACAATTGCATTAAGATATAATATAAAAACAAGGGGAGGGGGAAGAAAAAGATTTCTCGCAACCCTCCTAGAATCGCTCGAACTCCTCCTAGAAACTCGATCGTGGACGAGATATAGGTAACGAGGGCGTGAAACGAGCAACGCCGGTTATTAAATTCCTGCTAGCGCTAGCTAACGATTATCGGTTTATGTAAATGCAGGAGAGGGGCGCGATGCCGAATTAAACCGATGAATCCGGTTAAATTCGATTTAACGAGCCGATAAACCTTGCCCCGCCCAGAAAACTCTTTCGGGCGCAATTACGTCATTCGTAATTCGTACATCTCGCCGATATACCATTTGGAATTGTGGAGCGTGAATTTCTATATTTACGACTGCTTGTTACTGGACCGATCTCGCGACGATTCTCATTTCTTTTTCTAGGAATCGAAGGGGGGAAGGGAAAAGAAAGAGGGTGAAGAAATGTCGACAACGAAACCGCGTATTGGAAATGTTAATCGTTGCTGTTGATAAGTATCCTCGAGAATCTACTGGAGGAATTACTTTGCCCTCGTGCGATTTGGAGAGGATTGTCTTGCGAGAATGAGCGATTCGGGTGTCTAGAGTTGGCTGGCAACTCGCTCGGCTCGAGTCAAAGGTAATTTCAATTGGATTGTCTGTTGGAGAGGGTTGTCTGTAATGAGAAACAATCTGATGTTGATTTCGGGGCAAGCAAGAATGTTGCAAGCGTGAGATACAAAACGTATCGTATAATTGGCATCCCTTGCTCTCCACGGAAAGCAATCGAATATCGTTTATACGGTTGAGGGAAGAAATGAAGAAAACTGAACACCTTTTCTCTCTCGTCAATCTTATTTATTTTAAGAGAAGTCGTCGAGCAACTCGATCAAAAGTTTCTCGACAAGCTGTGGACAGTTTGTCGAAAATTAAGTTCTTCGCTCTAGAATTGCTCTGAATCAATTCCAATCACGACTATTTTACTATTTCTTCATTTTTCCTCGCTCAAACTTATCCCAAAATAATCCATAATCCTCTCTCGAAAACACAAGTCACAAGCTTGTATTCCTGATACAATCACGAAAAGGTCTGACCGATTTAACGGACTCCCCTAATGCAGTTCACCCGGTCGGTAAATATTCGCATTAAAATTCAGCGGAGGTTATCGACGGAGGGTGGAGGAAGAGGAGGAGGAGGAGGAGGAGGAGGATCGTCCACGTAGAGAGAGCAACGTGAGAGGAGGGTGAAATGATGCATCAAGCTTTGGTCGTGCGCGCACGTCACCGCGCGCGCGGCCAAGAGGCCACGTGCTTGGAACACGTGCGAGAGGACTTTTAATTTCGTGGACAGGCCAGATGGGCCGAATGGCTCTTCCTCGGTGGTTCCTTGATTACGTCGATCCTCCCCGCCCTCTTCCTTCCCTTCCTTTTCTTCTCGACCGCGAGAAGATTTGTCGACGCTGCGAAGGTGAAAGGAGGAGATGAGGAGGTTTCTCTCTCACGTGTTAATTTTGCGCGACAACAGTTTCGGTATTAGCTCTGTGGAGGAAAGGATTGTTTGTTTTTGTGAAGGTTTTTTTTATTTTTCGAGAGTTGAATTTAATGACTTTAGAAGATGAATAATCGGAGGAAATGGGGTTTAGTTTCAGTGTTTGATAAGAAGAATTTTTAAAACGTTGGAGAAGGTATAATTAGTAGTAGGTAATATTTATTTTAGGTTATATGTCTAAATTGTCGCAGATAAAATGACCAAATTATTAACGAAACGTTTCTATTAGAGAAAGTTAAAGTTAATTATCAGTCAATAATATGAATAAAATAGTTTTAATAATTGATAGATAATCAATAATTGAAGGTTGATAGTTTCATCGACTTTGAAAAGAATTAACTTAAAACATTAGTTAATCTTCACGTGTTCTTAATAATACATCTTTCTCTAATCTATATCGATAATTTGAATAGAGAGTTTATTACTGGACGACCACGTTTCCCCGATAATTGGCGAATTAATATCTCTTCGGAGGAATTAGGGGCAAGCCAGACCACCTCGAAGTAGGACTTATCGTAGACCACGCTCTTGGTCACCTTGACAAAGCTTTGGAGCAAGGATAAAGTTTATTTCGAACTAGAACTATCAATTATTCTTAGAGCACCGGTGACTCAAATTGTTGAATCGAGCAGATTCTCAATTAATTAACTGGATTTGCTATTGGCAATAAAATGATGTACAAAATTTCGTTCTCGAGGAAAAATTTTATAATTAATTTAAAAAATAAAAGAAATATTATCTTTCGATAGTAAATTTTGTTTAACACAAATTTTAATACAATTATGAATCATTCTTCTTATATAAACTCTACAATGAATATTTATTGATATTTCAAAAATATTTCTCTCTTTAAAATTCATACTTAAAAGTCCAGTGAAATCAGATCGATTCTAATAACAATACAAGAATCAAAGATAGTTCTCGAAATCAAAAGAAAAAAGATTCGAGTAATATCGATTAACGAATTTAGATATGGATATTCTATCCATAAATCACTGTTTTGGAGATTTCGCCAATTAAACCAATCCTGAAACTGGGTCATCGTTTCTTACATCGCCCCTCCATTCAAAACCAAGATACATATATAGGGTGTTCCACGTGGAACGATGAATCGAAAGGAAAGAATAAATTTTTTTCACTCGAAGCTTCGTTTCAAGAGCGAATTTGAAAATTTTACAAATAAAATTCACAAGTAGAATTAACTAATAATTCCTAAATCAATTGGATACATAAAATGAACGAAACATTATATTCTCCCTTTTTAAGAAACGCTCATAATCAAGAAATAGAAACAGAAACTATTTTAAACTTAAAAATTTTCAAAAAATTCCATTCCATCCTTTTTTTTTTTCTTACTTATTT